TATGAAAATTTATTAGTATGACATTCTGTACTGATTGAATTTTTATTAACCATGTGTGTATCATCTGCTTAATTATAAACACAAAACCTGATGATGAAACAATTTTATTGGGTAATAAACTCATTTTATTCCCATTTAAAATAGTACTCTTGTATTGTTTCCTGAAGAATTCCTATATCATATTATTTATCTGGTCACTAAGTAGATTAAAATTGATTTATTTATTTTTGACAAATAAAAATTCCATATATTTAAGGTATACGATGTGATGTTTTGATATATGTAGACAGTATGAAATGATTACCATAATCAAACTAATTAACATATTCATCACTTCTCATAGTTACCATTTTTCTATGGTGAGAACACTTGATATGTACAATCACAACAGAATTCATATATACAATACATTATTATTGACTATAGCCACCACACTCTACATTACGTTTCCAGAAATTACTCACATTATAACTGAAATTTTTCACCCTTTGATCATATTTCCCCTTTTGTCCTACTCCCAGCCTCTGGTAAGCATTATTCTATTCTCTGCTACTATTAGTTTGACTTAATTTTTTTTTAAGATTCTACTAATAAAGTGAGATCATGGGATATTTGTCTTTATGTGTTTGGCTTATTTCACTAGCATAATGTTCTCCAAGTTCAGCCACGAGATTCTTCTTTTTTAAGGCTTATTTTATATCTAATATACATGTAGATACCACATTTTCTTTATTCATTCATTCATTGATGAACATTTGCTTCCATATATTGGCTACTGTAAATAATGCTGCAATCAAGATGGATATCTCTTCAAGACAGTGTTTTTGATTCAGATATACACCCATAAGTGGAATATTTTTGATGCCTATTATTTGCCACGCACTGAAAGATGTGGTGGGAATGTAACAGTGAACAATATAGGCACAGTCCTTGACTTTGTGGAACTTATCTTCTAGGAGGATAGCAGATATAAAACACATAATTGCATAAGGAACTCATTATTTCCCATCATGAAAAGTTCAACAGAGGAGTATAGGGTGAGATCCTAAGCTAGTCTGAGGCACTTGCCAGATTGTGTCGCTTTGAATGAACTGCAAAATGAAGATTAAGCTAGAAGAAAGAGGGAAGACCCTGAAGTAGAAAGAAGCATGGGATATCAGTGGAAAGTAAGGAGAGCCAATATAGCTGGAACTCAGAAAAAGGCGAGAGATACGAGATGATTGTTGAGTTCAGCGGGGCCTTTTTAAAAATTTTATTTTTTATTATTTTATTTTATTTATTTATTCTTTTTTCAGGAGTGCCTTTTAGAACACGTTTAAAATCTTGGTGTGGATTTTTAAAGCAATAGGAAATCATGGAAGTTTTAGGTAGAGAAGAACATGATCAGATTTGAATTTTTAAAAGTTTACTCTACTGGCAGTGTGGAGCGTGAACTGGAGAGGAGCAAGCATGAATGAATGAGGTGGCCAGGTGGGATCTACTGTAGTAGCCTAGGGAAGAGATTATGGGGGCAGTCCAGATTTAGAGGTGGATGCATTTACAATATATCCTTGAGATAAATCTGGCAAGAGTTGCTAATGAATTGGTTTAAGGGTGAAAGACAGTAATATATTAAAAGGATGATAAATGATGATATATTAAGTTTTTGACTTGAGAAACTGATGAGAAATTGGCAACATTTCTAAGCTAGGGAATGCTGGGTGAAGAAGTTTGGGAGTAAGGTTGAAATATTCAGGAATTCATTACTGGATACGGCCAGAAGAGATAAGGTTGGATATATGGATTTGGAGCTCAAAGGAAAGGTATGGGAGAGAGACCATTAAGCCACAGTTTGTAAAAATGTTTACAGTTTGTAGAAACACCATATCCCACAGTTGAATGAACTTCTGAATACAAGGTAAATGTTCAGAGAACTGTGGTTTCTCAATTCAAGAAATCATTAAATAGAAAAAAATAATGTCACAGTGATTTAACAGGTTAGTCAGTTTGTAGGTATCCATCAACTCATCATACTGTGATTTATCCCTATAAAATATTTCAGTTCTCAAAAATAGATATCCTCAGAATAATATAATAGACACAATTAAGCTGCTCTGCTTTATGCTATTTTGTTGATGTTGTCAACCTCTATATTCACTTTTGCCTTGCAAAAGATTAACAAAAATACATGGGAAAGAAAAAGTACTTTGAGTGTTTTCTCCATGAAGACAGTTTACATTTTCCTAATATAATAATCTTTTCTATGCCCAGAGAGGGTGTGATAACTTCAGAGAAAGGGCAGCTAAATATAGGCTGGCACATTGTAAAAAACTATTTTTATTTATTTATGGCTGTGCTGGGTCTTCATTGCTCCACGCAGGCTTTCTCTAGTTGTGGTGAGTGGGGGTTACTCTTTGTTGCAGTGCACGGGCTTCTCAATGCAGTGGCTTCTTTTTTGCGGAGCATGGGTTCTAGGTACACGGGCTTCAGTAGTTGCAGCACACAGGCTTATTAGTTGTGGTGCAGGGGCTCAGTTGCTCTGACATGTGGAATCTTCCTGGACCAGGGATCAAACTTGTGTCCCTTGCATTGGCAGGAGGATTCTTATTCACTGTACCACCAGGGAAGTCCTAGGGTGGCATTTTTATCTTTCTGAGGGTTGTGCTCTCTAGCTTCAGGGGAAAATAGTATTTCAAATCTGGGGGAAAACATAGTGGAAAATTAATACTATAGAGTAATTATTTATTTTTTTTACATCATTAGATATGAAATTCATGAAGACATGTTCATTGCTGTAATCCCAGCATCTAAATATTGCACATACTAAATACTTGCACATAGTAGGTACTCAATGAATATTTAAGGAAAGTTAAATGAATTAATGAATTGTATCTTCACAGTATGATTATATTTGTTAGAAAATGTCTGAATCCACAGAAAGTTAGATATGGTCATATTGAAAAGGATATATACATATATATATATATTGTATACACACACACACACACACATACATATACCCAAATATCTCCAAATACAAGAATACTTTCATTTATCATGTTTTTAACCACCCACCCATCTCCAAAATAGAGATTTTGGAAAGCTTCCTGCATTTCCTCTGGTAAATCTATTTTCATTTCCACTGCTGGTATTAAGAGTCTCACAGATCTCACAGTTAAGGTCTATTTCACTTCTGATACTACTCAAAACTTTCTATTTGTACCAGGGCAAATAGCAGAAGGATTTGATAGACAATAATTTCCCTTTTCAGAGGAATCTATTACACAAAATATTCATCAGAGAACCCTATCACAAGAGTATTGTTCAATACAGCAAGAGATTCCATAAGTGATATTAACACAACACTGTATACTGTTGCTAATGATTGTCACAAAACTCAACAAAGTGCAGCCAAAAACCCCAGTAAAATACAATTCTAAAGACTTTTCATGGAACTTAATGTGGTAACAAACATGTTTTGAGCATCTTCAAGATATAAGATACATGCTAGTGATGAGCAGCTATCAAAGTGAAGACCCAGTCCCTGTCCCTATAGTACTTACCATTAGGGGAATCAGAGCTAAGTTGTTCAGCAAACACTTAACTGAATTCCTGCTATACACCACGCTTGTGTTTGATGCAGGGGGTAAAAAGATAAGTAAGGCACAACCCCTGTCATTAGGGGCTTATAATTTAAGGTATGGTACATCTGGGTGTGTATTTTGGGGGCTATGTGTCCAGTATAGGAACCAACATAAACACAAATAATTTTCAGTGCAATATGGGAGGTTAACACAGAGTGGTAGCAAAATGTAGGGAAATTTAACCCAATATAGGGAAGAAATGCAAGGAGGAGGTGGTGGAAATGACTGACTGAGTCTTGGGGATAAATATTACCTGGAGAATGGGAAGATCATTACATGCTGGAGGAACAACAGTGTGACTGGGGAACTACAAACAGCTCAGAGGTCAGACAGGTGGTGTAAGGAATGGTTCAACGTGGCACTTTATTTAAATTATTTTGAAACTTTGGTAAAATAACAACACGATTAATTTCTGGGACCAAAAAATACCCTCCCTCACTCCCATGCACCTTCCCTCTCTTTTTACTTTGGTATTATCAGACAGCAAAGCATTTTAAATAAAGGGGATGAGGGTGCAGGTGGGAGGAGGCCGACCTTGAAAATACTACGAGAGCTATATTAGCTGCTTGGCAGAGACAATCTAACCCTCATCAAATACAATCACTTGAAAACAAAAGCCACTTTACCTAGATCACCTCTGCAGTACCTTATTGGGAAAATCTTGTATGAACTCCTTGTATACGCGTATGAAACCAGATTCAGAATCAGTTAACGCCTATCAACCAACTACTGTGCTTTCCTCTTTTTTCCCTCTTGCAACCATTATTAATATATATGCAAGGTGGCTGTTTGGACTAACTAGAACAAATACAGATGCTTTGAGGTTCCATTCCGGCGAAGCTAGGGAGAGATTTTTTTTGTGGATTTTTATTGCGGCGACAAGGACAAAAAAAGATAAGAAATAGAGTGTGAAGGTATTGGTGTGAAAAATTATGCTTCGGGGGCCAAAACGAAAGTATAGACACTCTAAGGGAAACAGTTTCCAGGCTGAAATGAAAATTTCCTTTGTTCACAGAGCAATTCTCTTTCAATTTCACTCCGCCCTCGTGTCTCCTGACAATTCTTGCTTCATCATTGTCAAGCAGTTCGCAGGTCTTCCCACCATTCATCCTAGCGATCAGAGTAAAAATCTACAACTCTTTTCTACCTCAAAACTCCAGGCTAAATGCGCCACTGTTCTCAGCCTGGAAAAGGAATAGAGCTCTTAACGTTCGATTAAAAAGTTTCAAACATAATGCTGTAGCCTCCTACCTGGACCCACCACTGGAGAACTACAATACCCAGAACGCACTGTTTCCCTTCCGCCTCCTACCGCGGCAGCGCCGAACTTGATCTTATTTGCACAAGGAACAGTCACATGACACGTTTCCTGTCAAGATGGCGGATAACCTCCCTTCGGAGTTTGATGTGATCGTAATAGGGACGGGTATGTGTGGCTCTGGTACTACCTGGACAAAGTGTAGGAAGTCTATCCCATTCCTACCTTCTCTGTCAGGGGTGGGGGTCGGCGAGAAATGTTGGGGTCGAGTGTGGGAGGGAGGACGGAAAGGAAGTGAGGTAGTCTGGAGTCAACGCGGGACTTGGCGCTCCAGGGAGGGGCTTGGACCCGCGGTGCTTAGCGCCATTTGAGTAGGGGTCGATCTGGTTGATGCCGATTGCTGAGGTTGGTTGCTGCGGGTGATTCCTGTAATTTCCTTAGAGGGGGGAAGGTTTGCTGTGTCAAGAGAACGGAGGGTGGGAATTTTATCAATGGAGACACCATGGCATGATTTTATGATTTCCTCTTTGATTTCAAAGTGATATTCCCCATCATTTTGTCTCGCCATTTCATAGGAATTTTTCATATATTTATATAATCTTAGGGTTCAGTGCATCTCAGATACAGTTTGTTACTCAGTTGTTACCCATTTACGTTTAAATGTACTAAGGCGAGGAAGTGGATTCTTTTCTGTTGTGTTGAGAAGCCTGCTACTACTACTGCTAAGTCGTTTCAGTCGTGTCCGACTCTGTGCGACCCCATAGAGAGCAGCCCACCAGGCTCCTCTGTCCCTGGGATTTTCCAGGCAAGAACACTGGAGTGGGTTGCCATTTCCTTCTCCAATGCCTGAAAGTGAAAAGTGAAAACTGAAAGTGAAGTCGCTCAGTCGTGTCCGAAGCCTAGGGGGTTGTAATTTGTTGAGGTAGCCATTATTCCTGCTTTATGGTGCTGAAAGAAATCATTTTGCTTTCTTCTACCCACCTATCTACCCACAGCTAAATGAGCTGAAAACAAGGTCTGTGAGTCCAGTTCTAATGTGTGATCATATCTTTCTCTTGCTTGCCCATCGTTGATTCTTCATGGTTTGGGTGGTGCCAGAACTCCCTCTGCAGTTTCTAGTTGACAAATTACACGTACAACACGTGGCAGAAAACATTTGGAAAAAGTTGTTATTTTGTTTTTCTTGACAGTGTAAAGGGTGAATTTTAGATGGGATGAAATAATTTTTTGGGTGGGGTTTTGTCCTGTCTACAGAATGTGGTAGGCTGGAGAACCTCTGGTGAGTGAGAGCCTGTCCATTGTGTTAATAAATTTAGCTCATTGTCTTCTCAAACGGTAGGAGCAGCCATGTTTCCAGGTCGGGAGTAAAAATAACTGCCTATTTTCGAGTGCTATTAATCCATGTGCTAAGCTCTTTACAAATCGTATATAATCCTCACAACTTTGTTAGAGTAGATATTCTCTACACTTTACAGAGGAGGAAGAAGGTCTTAAAAAGGTTGCAGTTTGCTCAAGATCACACTGCTGGTAAATTTCCAGAAGTCCGTTGTATACTAAAAGGAGAATCAGTAGTTCTGACACTCAGAATTAAACCATATTAATAGAAATAACTGGGAAAACTTGGTTGTAGACCTTGCTTGGCCATTAACCAACTGTGTGAATTTCTAGGGTTAGGAACTTAATCTCTCAGAGCCTCAGTTTCCTTGGTTTTGAATATAGGCAGTGTGAACTAAATAACCTTTTCAGTGTTGTCTAACAAAAAATTCTCTTATTCTAGTTCTACATGGGTGATTGTTCTCAAAACAGCAAGGACATGTTTCTTCTCAACCTGAGAATTGTATGGCTACAAATAACCTTGATGTAGCTGCTATGAACAGATCTTGGGTGACAGCTGGAAGGAGTCAGTAGACTATTTATTTTCTCCAGTCTATCCTAAAACTTAGAACAATATCCATTTTAGAATAGTTGTTATAGCATACTTGGGTCCTGTGTTACTCCCTTTTTTTGTTGTACTTTGGAAATTAGGGCATGTTAAAAATTATTTTGTATCATTAAAATATTGTTTCTTGATTCAAATTTTAATTGATAAGTGGCAGTTCTTATTATTAAGTGCTGTTAATTCTTATATAAGATTTCCCTGGTGGCTCAGACGGTAAAGCGTCTGTCTACAATGTGGAGACCCAGGTTCGATCCCTGGGTGGGGAAGATCTCCTGGTGAGGGAAATTGCAACCCACTCCAGTATTCTTACCTGGAAAATCCCATGGATGGAGGAGCCTGGTGGGCTACAGTCCGTGGGGTCGCAAAGAGTTGGACACAACTGAGAGTTTTTTTGCTTATTTCAGTTTGTAATATGGACTATATCCATCTTCTTCGAGTCTGTTATGATAGAGGTAGGAAGAGTCTGTCGGTGATCCAGAAAATTGCATCAGGAAGCATCTGGTGTATTTGGAAAAAGATTCATTTTAGACTTATTTCCATGAGAGTAATGTTACTTCTCAAAGTATGGGAAGGACTTATTTGAGTTAGAGGTTTTCATATCACTTAGTGAACACTGTTTAACTTTTCAAGAACATTGTTTACATTTATGATTTGAAGCTTTGTATTTAGAGAAAAGTCATTCTCAAATAAATGAATTCAATAATTATAATCACTATTGAATTGAATAAGTGATTTTTAATGTGTTTGGAATATTTTTCTTCTGAAATAGTGTGCTGAAAGTGGACTTTAAGATGTGTTTGCCTTACTAAGTGTACTAGCTTGAGTCAATCATAGAAAAATAAGTGTTTCAAAGATTCAGTTTTGATAACAAAAGCAGAATTAATCATGTATGTATCAGAAACATGAAGAAATGGACTATGAGATGCAGTTTTTCTTTTAGCAGATTTAGTTTTAGTTAAAATGTCATAAAGAAACAGTTGCTTTATCAAGTAAAATAACCTGTGGATATTGTTTTAAATTCTTTTGGCCTTGATTAACTTGTTTTTCTTTTCATTCTTCATAATATAACATTTTCACTAAGGTCATGTTTTGAAGAGATTATGGGAAAATAAAGATTTGTATGTATTTTCTTAGTTAAGCCCATTTCCTCCTGGTTACAAAATACAGGAAATAATCTCTCAAACACCTGTAAACAGAAGAATAGGATAAAGTACTTAAACCATGCAAAATATAGAAGAAACTGAAATAAGGAAGGAGGGCCAAATGGAGCCTCAAGGGAGAGGACAGAAATGGAATAGTGACTCCAGTTTAAAATTAAAAAGTTTTTAAAGTGAAAAAAAAATCATGACAGTTATCTTAAAAAATGGATGTGGAGATAAGTGTCTAAAAAGTGGCCTTTAGTTTGGGTGCACGGTTGTCATTTTTAAGACATTTGCCATTTATAAAGATATTTGAATAATAACTTTGTAGGTTACAGAGAAGTATCATTTGTCACAGGTTAAAAATTGTCCTAGTCACGTAATAACATAGTAACACCTCACTGGAGGTGACTTATCTGGCATCTTGTATAATCTGTAACCTGCAGCAGAGCCATCAACTCAACATAAGGGCAGGTGAGATGGAGGTTACAAGCATCATGGGATATTATTGGCATCATTTTTACATAGGGGAATCCCTCATTCTCTCACTTAGAGCATATTCGTTCTTATTTTAGAAAATTCTAGCATGCTCAGAGCATATTAAGTGTTAGTCAACTCAGTCGTGTCCATCTCTGTGACCCCTTGGACTGTAACCCACCAGGCTCCTCTGTCCATGGGATTTTCCAGGCAAGAATATTGGAGTGGGTTGGCATTTCTTCCTCTAGTGAAGACGCAGGAAATGTTAACAACTTCTGCAAAAGCTGTGTTTGGAGGGTGTCATTAGACCTAAGTGACAGTTTATATCCTAATGTGAAAGGGGAGAGACAAACACCTAAAATGCAAACCTACATCAGGCAACACAATGATCTGGGACCATTTGGCATAGTGACAGACTACATATTTTTTAGAATATTAAGCCCAGAATTACTGAGAACCTAGTCCCTGCTCTTGTGACGTTTACTGTGTTACCTATTCTGAGGAACTGTTTGGAGTTCCTGACAGTCACATGCTCAGAGCTGTTCTAAGCCAATGAGGGCTTTTTGTTGCATCCTTCTTGCTTTATGAAAACCACAGAGAGATTCATTCAGCATCCGTTTCCTTTCTAAAGTACATCACACATATTATATTTTGGAGTTCTTCCCCTAAATAAACTGTGGAGTAGACTAGCTTAAACATTTTTCCTGCAGAGGATAAACACATGGATCCTTTTCATTTAAGAATTTTATTGCTAAAGATTATGGGGAAAGAAATGAGATAAAAATAACAAATATGGGAGAAATTACAGGGATATTGCTCTTAAATCCTGACTGCCTTGCTGTATCATGCTCAGCATAGTCCAGAATCAGTCATTATAGCAGCCTGGCATAAAGGGAATCACTTAACCTTCCTTCTAGGTGACTTTGGCAAGTTGCATAACATCTTGGAACATCAATTTGTTCATCTGTAAAGTGAGAGACTTGAATTAGGTGACCTCTAAGATAGGCATCTCCCAACTCTAAAATTTACCATTGTATGTGCATAATTATGACACTGGGTCCTTGAGAAAAGACTAAATTTTATATAGTCCTTATTTGAAGTCAAGTCAGTGTTTTCAGAATTTTTTCTATCAAAGCAGCTTATAAAGAATCATTTTCTTGGAAATGATAAACTGCTTTCATCAGGAAAGATCATGTAGGTAGCACAGCTGAATTTCTTGATGTTCAGTTCAGTCACTCAGTAGTGTCTGACTCTTTGCGATCCCATGGACTATAGCACACCAGGCTTCCCTATCTATCACCAACTCCCAGAGCTTGCTCAAACTCATGTCCATCGAGTCGGTGCTGCCATCCAACCATCTCATCCTCTGTTGTCCCCTTCTCCTTCCGCCTTCAATTTTTCCCAGCATCAAGGTTTTTTCTAATGAGTCAGTTCTTCTTATCAGGTGGCCAAAGTATTGGAGCTTCAGCTTCAGCATGTCCTTCCAGTGAATATCCAGGAGTGATTTCCTTTAGATTGGCAGGTTTGATCTCCTTGCAGTCCAAGGGACTCTCAAGAGTCTTCTCCAACACCACAGTTCAAAAGCATTAGTTCTTCGGTGCTCAGCCTTCTTT